GGGGGGGAGGGGGGGGAGGGTGAAACAGTCAGGCAGGCAGGCAGAAGAAAAGAGACATAAGAGCGGAGGGGAGGGAACAGAGGAAGAAAAAACACCAAGAGGTCATGTACTGTAGAGTGAGTGAAGGGGTATGTGATGTGTCTGTGTGTGTGTGGGGGTGAAAGCGTCGATTGGCCTTCCTTCCTTCTTCCGCAGTCCGTAATAGTACATCAGATCGGCACCTCGCTCGCTCACTCACTCAGCACAGGACAGCACGGCACGGCACACACGGAGGAGAGACAGACAGACAGCCCTCTGGTCGGTCGGTCGGTCGGCCAACAGCACAAAAAACACATAGTTCCTGAGAACACATGCACTGTACCCGTCCAGTTAGTTAGTTAGTCGTGTGTCTCAGGTCTGCATGCCAATTGGCGGGTGTGCTGTGCTGACCAGACCAGACCCTATCTATCTGTGTGTCTGTGTCGGTGTGTGTGTTTGTGTGTGTGTGTGTCTGCCAGTAGGCTGCCTCTGCGTGCGCGTTGGTCTATCTCGGTCAAAACTGCTTTGTGTGCGAATGGCTGGCTGGCTGGCTGGTCTAACGAACGAAGGATCATCCATCCATGCGGGCAGACAGACAGACAGACAGACATGCAATCCCCCTACTAAAGCGGAAACAACACATAAAGAGGAGAATCGGTCCATCCCATACAGTGGGTGCCGTCGGTCCGTTCGGTCGACAGGTACTTCTTGGCTAGACTCTCTCTCTGTCTTTTTCCCTCCCTCCCTCCCTCCCTGACTCTCCCTCTGTGTCCCCTCCCTCTCTCCCTCTCTGCCGGTTCCCGCGATCGAGTACCGTCCGACGGTCAATCAAAGGGGACTTCAGTATCAGACAGCCAGTACGTCGTGTTGCGTCACCCACACACCCACACCCACACACAACGTCTATCGCTGCACATGCACTCACTCATTCTCACAGCAGGCAGGCAGGCAGGGCCGGGCAAGCGGCTAAGCTAGCCGGTCAGCTAGCACGCCTTCTTCCCCCGTCCACTCCATCCACCCGTCAGTCGTCCGTCCGTCCGTCCGAGACCAACCACCAAACACACAGGCCACATCTCACACCACACACGCCACAGCCACAGCCACATGCACCCACCCACCCTCCCTCTCTTTTACCACCCTAAGCCCCTCTACTTACGTTATATTACGTACTTAGCGCACACACACGACGCGACACGCATGGCATGCAGGCAGTCAGTCAGGCACTTCTCAATCAACGAGTGAGAGGATCAATCCATCAATGGCGAAGAGGTAGTGGAACGACCCACAAAAGCCGACCCTGGTTCGTGCAGGCAGCTCCTAGGTCGCTCTGGTCTCGTGAAGGAATCGAATCATCCACTCACTGGTCGTCAGTCAGTCAGTCAGTCAGTCAGCAACAAGCAGACAGCCAGGCGAATGACCCCTCTCTCTCGTCCTCTTTTCGAAGGGAGAAAACGACCCAAAAATACATACGTATGCCACATCCAGCCACCCCTGCCACATCCAGCCAGCCATCCCGCAGACAGCCCACGCCCCCATTCATCCAATCCACAAAAATGATAAAGCAAACCACTACAGCCAGTCAGTCAGTCAGCCGCGCAC